GCAGTGGCATGCTCACAGCTCACTGCAGCCTTGACCTCCTGGGCTCAGGTGATCCTCCCACTTTATCCTCCCAAGTAGCTGGACTATAGGAGTGCCCCACCACGCCTGGCTTATTTTTGTGTTTTTTGTAGAAACAGGGCTGTTGCCCAGGCTGGTCTGGAACTCTGGCAGTCAAATGATCCACTTCCCTTGGCCTCCCAAAGTGCTGAGATTACAGGTGTGAGCCACTGTGCCCAGCCTGAATATCCGTTAATGAATATCTTGCTATCAATTTCTCTATTCAAAAACTTTCAGTGTATCCCCAATGCCTACAGGGAAATTTTAAGTGACTTAATATGGTAACTTTTCCGTATTATGATAAAGGATATAAAAGTAATGTGAAAACCTCAGAGAGCTCAATTTGCAAAGAATTACTGACTTTTTGATCACTTTTGTCGACTTTATTTCCGTACTTTCTTACAAGAGCCATCCACTTTAAGCGAGATAAATGTTCCATCCCTAAACCACATTTTGACTCTTTTCGTCTGTAATTGGTTCCACCTAATACTAAGTATTCTTTGCTAGGTGTGCATTTATGGTATATACAAATAAAACGCATTTTCCTCCCAATTCCACTTCTGCTTATTCTTCAAAATAGAGCTTAAATATTATGCCTTCTGTAGAGCTTTCCCTTAGCTCCCTATACTACTATAAATTCTTCCTTTCAGCCTGAAATATGCTCACTTATATTGCCCTCTCTCTGGACCATATACGCAAAAAAGTGCACAAAAAATGAATTATTTAAAAGTGAAAACTCATGTAACCACAAGCAAAAGTCAGTAAATTGAGTGTTACCAGTCCCCAGAAGCCCACCATATGCTCCTCTTCAATCACTTCTCTCCACCGCAAAGGACAGTCAGATTCATCTCTTTATAGCTTACCAGCTGTTTCTCAAGTTTCATTGAACAGAATCATAAATTTTGGACTTGTTTTAACATTTTTGGTTTTACGTGTAACTGAAGTTCATTTTCATTGCTGTGTAGCATTTCATTTATCCATTTTATTTCTAATGAACATTTGGGTTTCCAGTTTAGGGCTATTATGAATAAAGCTGCCAAACACATTCTCATGTATGTGTCCCATGTACATATGCACAAGTTTTTCCAAGTTCTAACCCTAGTAAAATCTGGATCTCAGGATGCATAGCTACAGTTTTACTAGCTAAAGCAAGTTCGTTAATAGATTGGCCCAGTTTACACTTCCATCAACAGCATGTGACACTTCCCATTGCCTCACATCCTTCCTTACCAATACTTGGAATTTTCAGACTTAAATTTTTGCCATTTTGGTAGCTGTGTAGTGGTATCTAATTGTGGCTTTAATTTCCTGTTTCTTAAGTTGAGCACATTTTCATGTGTTTATTAGAGATTTGTAGTTACTTTGTGACTTGCCTTTTTGGAGACTGTTCCTTTAAAATGAATTTATTCAATCCTTTTATTTATAAAAGATGTTATCCTTTTGTCAGCACCAGCTGAGGCTTAATGCTCTAGGAGATTGATGCACAGCAAGTCTGAGAGAGGAGGAATTTTTATAAAATCCCCCTTTTATTAAAATGGGGGATTTACGAGCGCCTTCCCGTATTCTGTACCCCAAAAGTCCTAAAATAGAGGATGGGTTATATAACTTTCACAGTTGATTGAGGCACCCGTGGGAACCATTCCATTTCTTTTTCTCACCATAGTCCTCAAGCTCAAATATTACATTAGTGTAAATAGTGATAAGGCAGTTTGGATTTCATCAGTGTTCATGATGGATATGTGTAGGATACGTGGTGGGATTTACAAAAATCCTAACTTTTACAAAAAGAAATATATTAGCAAATGAAGTTTTTTATCCAGTGAGCATTAGTTTGGTAGAAAAAGGCATTATTCAGTGAGCAAGTACTTTTTGAGTGCCTGCTATGTACCAGGCTAAGCTTTGGAAACAAGATAGACAGTATTCTATCCCTGTGTTTTATGCTTTGTTTTGTGGTTTTTTTTGTTTGTTTGTTTTGTTTTTTTTTTTTTTTGAGACGGAGTCTTGCTCTGTCGCCAGGCTGGAGTGCAGTGGCCCAATCTCGGCTCACTGCAACCTTTGCCTCTGGGGTTCAAGCGATTCTTCCGCCTCAGCCTCCCAAGTAGCTGGGACCACAGGCACATGCCACCTCAAGCAGCTAATTTTTGCATTTTTCATAGAGATGGGGTTTCACTATGTTGGCCAGGATGGTCTCGATCTCTTGACCTCGTGATCCGCCCGCCTCGGCCTCCCAAAGTGCTGGGATTATAGGTGTGAGCCACCGTGCCCGGCCCCTGTGTTTTGTGTTTTAGAGTCATGTTTTAGAGGCAGTATTAACAGCTGCATATTTTATGCCATGGCATCATTTAACAGTCATTGACAGGAATTAGATAAAAAGTGTTGAGACAACCAGTAGTCACTAAGCATGTAATCTTTGGAGTCAGACTTTGATTTCAGTTCTGGTTCCAGACATGTGTGACCTTATGCACATTACCTAAGCTCTCTGAAGTTGGCTTTTGTCGTGTGAAAAGTGGAAACAATAACCTATAATGTTATGTTGATTCATTGAGGCATTTAATACATGTAAACTGCATAGCACATCACCCAGGGCATGTATCTGTCATGAACACTGATGAAGTCCAAAACCACCTCATCACTATACATGCTAATGTAAGGCTTGAGCATGGAACAGGAAAGTGAACTAAAAGATACTCCAAAGCATTTGGAGTCCCTGAAGCGCAGGAGCAAAATTTAAGCCTGTTAAAGAAAACCAGTACTGCCACACCTTCCTTCCACTTTCATTATCCATTGGAGTGGAGATTTGTTTTTCCGCTTTTTGCTTTTTTCCGTTTTTTACTGTGGTGGTGTTTTCTAACTGTGTTTGTATCCCTTATAGGATTACCTTTCCAGTTTTCATTTGATGATTGTTCCTCTAGCAATATTAAAATGAAGATATTTTAGTTAAATATGGCCATCATTGAAACTAAAAGTTGAGTGTGAGAGTAGTAAAATTGAATAAATATCTGCATTCCAGGTAACGTTGCTACTAATGTATTATTTTGCCCTTTCTTATTAAAGCTTGTCGATTTCCAGTGGAAACTGGGTATGGCAGTGAGCTCAGACACTTGCAGATCGCTTAAGTATCCTTATGTTGCAGTGATGCTAAAAGTGGCAGATCATTCAGGCCAAGTAAAGACCAAGTGCTTTGAAATGACGATTCCACAGTTTCAGGTTTGTGAATTAACTCGTTCAGTTTTAGTTCATTTTTTCTATAATTGTCGCTTAAAAAGAGGTATAAAATCTAGAGGAAAACTTTAATGGTTTTTATTTGTAAATTGATTTGTAAACTTTACCTTTACTAGTAGTATATGCAAGAGATGTGAATTTGTCTTTGGGAATTTGATAAATTATTTTCAATATATTGTGCTGAATTTGTGTTCTGCGCCATTTGATCACTTGAACAGTCTCAGTATATTTAGGAAATTTTTATCATCAGTGGCAGGATATTTACTTTGCATTTAACTGTTTGATTCTTACTCCTTTGGGCTTAATGTTCAAGAATGTTAAGCTAAATGAATCGTTGAATAGTGTTGACCCTAAATTTTCTGACTAATTATGTTTACAAAATGCAGGTCAAAGCAACTGTACTTGCTGACTGACTTTATCAGCTAGGGACTTAAGTAACTCAGTCGTTCAGAGTTATGTTACCATATTATCATTCTACCTCTTTTCTGTAACCAAGGGGGAGTAAAAGGAAAGGTAGTGGACAAGAAATAAGGTTTTCTTTTAAATGTACATACTGGGAGATGTTTTGTCGTTAATTTAACTGTCCTATACAGTTTTGCTTTGTTTGTTCCTTTTGGTGAGTGAATAGGTAAGAATCTGTTTTTAGCATTTACACTAGTAGTAACTTAGTGCTTACACTTAGTACTTAAACAGCAGTTAGTACTCTAAAAGTCAAAGAAAAGCAACCATCGTGAATGAAATGGAAATAAAAAGTGATTCTTTTTAAAACTAAAAGTATATTGTTCCTAGGGTTCCTTTTAAAGAAAAGCTTTTCATATACCACTTTTTGATACTTTTTATTTCTACTTTTATAAACTGTATTTTAAATAATTTCTTTCCATTTTCTTTTTTTTTTTTTTTTTTTT